AGAGTTGAATGCTAACCAACATCCACAATGTCACAGACCCAAAATACCATCTCGCCCTGCAGCTGCAAGGGTATTCTGCCATAAGTAGGCAAAGAATGTAATCAGACTGCTGGGCACTGTGGAGGAAGTGGCCTGGAATTTGCCATGCCATGCCACATTTGCCAGAACAGTGATTTTTATATTGCTGGGTGACTATTCAATTACATGGACTTTTCTGTCTGTTCAATTCTGTTTCTGTTATATTGTAAGTATTAATTATTTTTATTGTTACTCTTTAATTATTTGTAATTTTGAGTCATTTTGTTGTGCTTTTGTCACTTTTATTTGTTTTTATATATATTTGTACTCAGCTTTAAATTTGTTTTAGTAATTTTAGTACTTATTTTGTGTGTTAGTATTTGTCATTTTCAATTTTTTTTTTTTTTTTTTTTTCATCTAATTTTGATATTTGAATTTATTTAGGCTTTATTTCCGATAACAAAAATTTTGCATAGTTAACAACCCAGTTTTGGACCTGCCCACTGTCCAGCCTTTTTACCTTACCTTACATGTATAGTGTTAAAATTAGGGAATTCCATTTTGCACCATTGGGAATCCCACTTTGAACTTTGCACCTTGAAATTTTAGGAAAAATTTTTTGTTTTAATTCATGTGCTATTTATGTGAACAATTTGTGTTTTTGAATAACAAAGACTTACTGTACCAAATACTACTGTTATTTATTTTAATTTTTTTACATTATAAAATATATATTTAAAAGGATTTATGCTATTGTATAGGGACCATACACTGATTTCTGATTTACATTATGACTTTTAAGTAGCTTTAGATGTCATTCCAAAAGTGATTTGGTCAATATTAGAGAATTGTAATGTGGCTCTACAATGATGCTAGCCTCATTCCTGTCCTCCTAATTTTATAGTCTGGTTTCAGGCCATGTGTGAACAGCTTTTCACATCACTTTATTCTGATTGAAATTGTAACATACCAGGGACTTTTTTTGTATTCCTGCAGACTAGCTAGATTTGATACAATACAGTCTTTGATAACAGTCACAATGTGTTTATCTCAGAGGGTGTGCTGTCCACAACAATCAAAGGATCAGGACTGCAGAGCTTTAAGCTCTCTCTCTCTCTCTCTCTCTCTCTCTCTCTCTCTCTCTCTCTCTCTCTCTCTCTCTCTCTCTCTCTCTCTCTCTCTCTCTAAACCTGGCTGAAGACAGGAATCAAATATGTATGTACAATGAGAGCTTTGAAAATGCTTCTGTTTTACATTTACTTGTATTGATTTTGTTATAATTTTCTCTTAAATTAACTACAATTTGAGTGAAAGGTTTGTACCATGATCAGTTCCCAAATATTTAAGGTTTAAATTTGATTTTGAATCCCACTGTATTATATATATTTTCAGCAATTATTATTTTTTTTTTACTTTTGACACAGAGATCTCTGTTCATATTACCTGACTTTTACATCATACAAACATGCTCTCTTTTTTCTCTCTTAACTGCAGTCAACTCTGATTTCTGTGAATTCACAGACTATTATTGAAGCCCAAGGGTGAAAATACAGGCCTGTCCATAATGACCTTTACCTCAAGGTAGAATAATCAGATTTCACTCTTTGCCTCAGCAGGCCAGCAGACAGCTCACTAAAACTCAATACACAGTAGAGCTGCTCATTTTCACCAGGCCAGACGAATAACAGGTCCATAGGGCCCTGTCATCTAAAGCTATGTAGTCCTCATCCTCTACAGCTAGTCAGCTATTATTCAATATGAAGTTCAAGAAAGCCATAGACATTAGTCAAAGCAGACACCGTATTTAATCTGACATGAAGTGAGGCTGTGAGAGATGGAGGTACAGTCCATTCAATATGTCGTACTTTTGCGTACACAGAAGTCGATCGTTCAGTAGATAAAACTGAAATGTCTTTCCCCAACTTTTCAGTGGACATAAAACTTCAGAAAACATGGGTTATGAAAATTAAACGTGACAGAGGACCTAATTTTCAGGCACACAACGGTATAACATGCTGAACATTTGTTCCTCAATTCATGTGGTGTCTAATAAATCAGTGGTTTGTCATCGTCACTAGTGAACCCGTATTCAACGTAGTCTGGGTCATATTATCTTTTTTGGGGTCATTATTCACCACCAGTCAAGAACCGTTCTTAAGTCATAATCATGGCTTGTGGTCACAGTTTGCTATAAATAATTTGTTGGCAACAGATTCTGCGTGACAGAAGGTATATTTGACTTTATTGAATGAAAATCAGTAAACAGATAATTCTTTGTTGATGGTTTTTTAATTATTTAGTATTTAGTATTATTATGGCCAAAATGCATTGTTCTTTAAACAATGTGTAATTTCCTTAAGACTGAAAATAAATTGAACGGATTTAAGCGGATTTGCTTATCTGTCGGACAGCATGAAGCATTACACTCTCAGCTTTGCGAAGAGTGAAGAAACAAGCTAATCTTTCAGGAGTTCAATATTAAGTTTCCGTCACTGTCAGGCTGAGCGCGAGAGAGGGAGGGGAAAAGATTAGACTATTCAGCACAGATGAACGTTAAAGGCTTATATGCCATGGAAACATATTCTCACATTGTTAATATGTGGATTAAGCCATTTTCTCATTCCCAACAAAAGTATCAATATGTGAGTATAAAATGGCATAATGCAGCAGCTCTCCACTGCATTCCTGGCTTGTATTAACGCTGAGCTTGTATTATTGTGAAAGAGAATATGACGGACGGCTTCTGAGATATTCAATGCTTTAACTGATTCCAGGATCTGGACGTACCTGTGCATTAGTCTGCAAAAAGCTTTAGAGGTGCATGTATTCACAAACATACCGGTACATTATATTCAAGACGGCCATTGTGTCAGTAACGTTTTTTTAATACCGAATATGAACAGTGGGCTCGGTTTGGAGCTGTTTATGAGATTAAATGCTGATTATTATTTTATTTTTTTGCTGTCATTCAAGGGGGAAACCTGAGAGAATTTCACATTTTCTCCGCAATCAGTCAATTACGATTCTCATTGCTTTCTGCATCTGTGATATCCTCCTCCCCTTTCAGCCACAGAGATGAGTTGTTTGCCACACTAAATATAAATTCAATGAATAATTTTATATTCACATAGAGCGATATTCCACACCCCGCCGATGTGAAGCGGCACCTCTGCTCAGCCTAATGTGCATTCAAATGTATTTTTGCACCATTTTCATACCAAAAGCTTCTCAAATCTTTGCTTGAGTCCACCAAGAATATAGAGGAAAAACATCCTATTATTCCGTCAAACCGAATCATATTTATGACCCTGCACTTTCACGTAGGAGAGTGCTTTGCATTGCTCCCTGTGTTATTTAAAATTTCATAAAACCTGGTCTACGACAGTACTTATTTTGCCCCACATTCTACTCTGCTCCTAATAAAGACATGCCAAGCAGAGGGTGTGAAAAACGAGCTCGCCGCGGCGGTTGGCATGAGTAAGGGAGAATGCAGGGGATAAATCAGAGCGAGAGACATTGGAGACACACAGATAATCTCAGAGTGCCGCTGTGTGTTTGGTCCTCTCCTCTCAACGCCGGTGATATACAGTGATGGGAAATCCATGCGGACTCTCGAAAAGGGCGAGATGGAGGTGACTCGTATAAATGTTTGACGTGAGCAGTTTTTCAAAATAAAAGTTTGGAATTATCACCCGAGATGAGCTCAGCAAACTCTTTCAATGTCTGTCACAAGTGAATTAATGTTTATTGACGGTGAAATAATGACACTGACTTATAAGCAGGCTTACGTGGAATCTGTTCCTGCAGAGCTCCTCAGCGTTCTGTCATTTATAAAATTCCCCAAATCTCAGACTCGTTTTATATTCGTTTATTAAAAGTTGTGGCTAATTTGATTATGCTTTCGGCTGTTAATAAGACTGTGGTACAGGTTTCACTGTTTGTCTATAGAGTTTGAGAGTCAGAATCTTTTGGGTTTTTGAATGCCTTCTTGGATGTTTTTGGTCAAGCAGCTTCTATAAAGGTTTTTTTTTTTTATGTACACATTTTGGTTCATATATTTAATATATATATATACACTACCGTTCAAAAGTTTGGGGTCAGTGAGAATTTTATTTTTATTTTTTGGAGGAAAGAAATCAATACTTAATTTGATCGAAAGTGACAGTAAAGACAATTATAATGTTACAAAAGATTCTATTTCAAACAAATGCTGTTCTTTTGAACTTCCTATTCATCAAAGAATCCTTAAAAAAAAAAAAAAAACTGTACAACTGACAGACCAACAACTGTTTCAACATTGATAATAATAATAAATGTTTCTTGAGCATCAAATCCTCATATTATACTGATTTGTGAAGCATCATTTGACACTGAAGACACTGACACTGGTGATGGTGAAAATTCAGCTTTGATCACAGGAATAAATTACACTTTACTATTTATTCACACAGAAAACAGCTGATTTACACTGGAATAATATTTAATACTATAACTGATTTTTGTTGTATTTTTAATCAAATAAGCGCAGCCATGGTTAGCAGAAGAGAATTCTTTTAAAAGTATTTAAAATCGTACCGACCCCAAACTTTTGAACGGTAGTGTATATATATATATATATATATATATATATATATATATATATATATATATATATATATATATATACAGTATATATTTAATCATATTTGAAGAAAAAAAAATGGTTCTTTATTGGCATTGATGGTTCCATGAAGAACCTTTCCAAAATGGTTCTTCTATAACATTGCTGTGGGGGAAAAAAAGCCATTTTTTAACCTTTATTTTAAGAATGTACCACATATTTTCCTTCAAAATCAGTGCAGAAAAATTTTTCTGGGTCTAACAGTATAAATTCAAAACATTATCTGAAAAGGCTATTTACCTTTATGGTGGTAAAATCTAATGCATTCAAGTTTCTCTTTTGTTTGTCTATTCTCCTGTGTGTGTGTTTCACCGTATTCTAGACCACGGATGACATGGTCTCCTCTGCCGAATGCTCCAGTGACGACGAGGACTTTGCTGAGTGCGAAGGACATGCAGGTGGGCTAGGTCAGTTGAATTTTGCTTGCCTCTATGTGGTGGCCTTTCATTTGCAACTGAGGATCAGATCCTCAAAGCATCGCCTCCCCCCATGGATAGAAAAAGTGTAACTTCCTGTCCAATCCAAGTTCCAACCCATATACACCAATACAGAGACAATCATATAGTAGGATATCCTGATAAATAATATAAACAAAACAGAAACAGGCATGCATTTCTAATGCTTAGCTTAGTCCATTCAGTAGCCTTGAATCAGAGCTAATCTCAAATCATTCACCCAAACTTTTCTTACGAGCTACACTTGGCCATGGGGTTTTCCGAAGTGGTTAACATGGTCACACTGATTACTAATTTTGTCCCCAGTGCCTATTATGAGAGCATATGTACAAAATTAGTACAGAAAAGTGACATGTTCTCTGCATTGATGCTTCAAAATGTATCATACTGAGGTTTTTCTGCCATGTGATAGTGGACTGCATTTTGGCACATGATACATTTTGAGATTTCTCTTGAACTTTGCTTTCAGCCTTATAGTAGAGTGATATCTATCAGATGAATTGCTGTTGAAGCAGTCTTTTCAATTCCTTTCCTCATTTCAAGAGGCTTGATCTAAATTAAGTTGTTGTAATAGAGAACAGATATCATCGAATTTCTGTGTACAAATTTTTGTTTTGTGTCCTTATGCTTATTTTTAACAGTATCATTTTGCCTCAGTGTGAACAAGTTGTTCTGCTAATATTTTCCAACCCAAATATGAAAAATACAATTCAGTGATTAGAAAAAAAGAGACAGTCAGAAAGAGAGAGATTTGAGAGAAGTTGGGTATTGGCTTTAAAAAAAAAAATAACATAATTGTAGCTTTGAGAAAATAGTCTGTCATGTCTTTTATGAAACGTGTAATTTTTTTGATTGCAGTTAAAGATAACTGAAATTTCATTCTTTTTCAAATCATAATTCAAGTCAGAGAGGTCAAATGAATCTGATTATAATTTGAGTAAAACCCCACCACTTACAATAATTTGGTGTTTCTTCAACTTCTGGCACTTTTTTATTCTAGGGGTTGATTTTTATTAAAAAGAACAGATTTCAACTTTTTTTCTCTCTCTCTGTGATATGAACGTCACATAAAAACATATTAAACCAAGTATTGGAAAGGGTTTCTCATATCTTTAACATTTATTTTGATACTTTTATAATATATTTGATTGTTTTAAGCTTGTCCAACACTCTCAGTCAAGATAATTCATCCTAAAATTGAAAATTAATGATCGAAGCAACATCTACATTTTTAAATAAATTATTTATATATTAAAGTGAAATAATACCTAATTGCCAAAATGATGTACACAATTGTATTGATAGGATTTTCTTTTCTTTTTTTTTTTTTTTTTTCACCAAAAATGCTATGAAATGCATTACATAATGTGGTGTTTCTGAAAAACATCAGAATACAACTTGTGTACAAATTACTTTAAATAAACAAGCAAGAGTATAAAAAGTGTGTTTTAAGAGAAGTCCACAAAGCCATATGTGCCCCTAGTTGAACAAACACCCAATTATACATTTCCCATGCCTGAAAAGTGAACCAGCACATAACAAGAAGTACAATGTGTGATCAAATGTGTGATCAAATCATTTCCAGAGGCCAAAGCCATTTCATGGCCTGTTAGTTTTATCTGTAGGCCTGTAATGAGCACACTATCTTTTATCACAGATATGTGCAACATGTGCATTGTGCCCCATTGGATGAAAAGGTATACATTTAAGTTTTCATGCAGACATGACAGGCTATCTCCTTTCTTCACTCCAACCTGTTCTTACCCTCTGCAATTCTCTCAAATGTCAATGCCAATTTCTTCCAAATGACATTCATCAGTTTAGCGGTTTGAGAACAATATCCATCTTTCTGGAATCTTTATGTACTCATAAAGAAAGCTATTGGCAGGGTCCCAATCATCCAGTCACGTTTACACAGAAATTCATGCCATTCTAACCTCTACATCAGTTGATGTGAAGCTGCATGAGACATTACCGCTGCAGGGGTGCGTCCTCATATTCGGAGAGTATTCTGTACCGCATGCGTGGGGTACTTCCCCTTGATTTGCCCTCTTAATTTCATGAGCTTGCTCGTGGTTGATGTTATTATTGGTGAAGTCCTCATCTATTTCCCAGCTATCCAAAATCAACATTCCTGTCATCTCGCCTCATCTTGTTCCGCATGATATTTTGGTGTTGAAATCATTTTTCTCAAGCATCTGTAACATCTGGGCTTGACCTTGAACATTGCCATTTCAATTAACAAAGCAAATAACAGGCAACAAAATCGTTTCTTGCCATCAAAAGTTTTTTTTTTTTTTTTTACTCAAGTAGATGTAATCTTAAGAAAGTTGTGTTTTAAGAATGGCCAACATCCTTGAACCTCTTGATTCTCAGCTGACTGAGCCGGTCTGCATATGAAGTCATTTTTTAATGCAGATGGCATAGAAAGAGTTTTATTGCCACAAAACGTGCGCTTCTCGATGTCACGCTTTCTCAAGCAGTCATTTGTGGCATGTAGTATGGTAGCTGCCAGTCAGAGCCATTTACCAGACTATTCTTTCATTATTCAGTGCATGGTGCCATTTTTTGATCTCCATGCATTTCCTCACCATCAGACTAACATGAGTGCTGTACTGTATGTATGAGCCAGTTTCAACAAAGCATCATACCTCAAGCTTATGGTTGCAAAGATTTCCGCTGCATTTCCTGTACCAAATCGTGTTCCTGTCTATCAACTTGTCTGTGTCTTGATGTGTTGTCACGTGATTCTGTTCTCTGTTTGTAAAAAATTGTTGGGTTTTCCCCTTTATCCCCATATCTGGAATTCCATAGGAGGGCTTCTACTGATTAATGATATGCTTCCAATGTCATTCTGTAGAAAAATTCTTCTGTATTATTCTCAGATTATTTCTCTGCTCACAAAATCTCATTATCTTAAAGTTCACGCTTGCATGCAAACCAAAAAGAGTATATTTATTTTTAATGTAAATATGTATGGATACATTTTTAGAAACTCCACACATTTTGTTTATTCTGAAACACCGTTAAATGGGGCTCATTTTGTGTTTAAATGATTCGGTAATACAGTATTTCCTTTTGAACGAGACAAAAGGTGAAGTGAATTTAAAACTGAGGGGAAGAAGCCTCCAGAGACTCAATTATCTGTGCGATGGAAGCATCTCTCACTCTTATAGTTTATGGTACAGTTTGTATTTGCAGGAAAGGATCAGTGCAATGTATTCGCATTAAAGTTGCCTTACAGATTCTTGTTAGCATGTAGTGTAATACTAATCCGTTCTACATCTCTCAAGCAGTGTGATTTGTTCAGGCTTATCTGTCTCATAGTGTGGATTTTGATGAAATAATTATGGATAATGATTAATCGGGAATTAACAAGCTCCAGTTTTTTTGCATAGCAATTTGTTTGTGTCTTCTAAAAAAGTCCTGTGACATTTTTCTATCATTAAAACCATCAGCTTGGCCCAAACCAGATAAGAAAGAATCAAGAATGGGATGGGTCAGTCCTGCAATGCAGTACCTTTTGACCTCTGTAACTTTGCCATTTAAGAAAAAGGCCATCGCAGACTTTCAGAAATATGATTTGGCCAAGTTCAAGCACTTTAACTTTATTAATTAATACTTGATTATTGCCAAGGAAATCAACAGGATGCCTAACAGGAGGGAATAAAAAGTAATTTATCAATGAAGGACTGAGAGCTATCACTTACAGTTTGAGGGCTTTAAGTCGATTTTATTTAATCGTCTTTTAAAATGTTGATTGCATACTGATTTCTGTAATTTTGGAATGTTTCAGAGTGAAACTAATACCACAATCTTAAAAGAATTAATGTCACTTCAGACATGCCTTTTGTTTGGACATTTCAGGAAAAAATGAAAATACCTTGAATATTTCTTCATAAATTGCCCTCTTTTTTAGTGCATACCGGTTTACTTGACCATGATATTGAAATAATAAAAATAATAATAATATGATTCCTATCTTTAAAAATGTATTATTTTATCCAATATATTATATATAGGCATACTGTACTGTACAAAAGATTGGGGTCAGTTTTTTTTAATGAAATTAATATTATAATTCAGCAAGGACACATTAAATTGAACAAAACTGACAGTGAAGACATTTATAATGTTACATTTATAATGATTTTCTATTTCAGATAAATGCTGATGAATCTATTCCTCAAAGAATCTTAAATAAATGTATTATGGTTTCCACAAAAAAATAGTAAGCATCATAACCATTTTCAACATTAATAATAATAATAATAAGAAATGTTTCCTGAGCAGCAAATCAGCATTTAATGATTCTGAAGGATCATGTGACACTGGGATTATGTGAAACTGTACTAATGGCTGCTGAAAATTCAGCTTTTGCCACAGGAATAAATTACTTTTTAAAAATGTATTCAAATATTTCACAATATGTTTTTTTTAAAATGTTAACAATATTTCACAATATGACAGTTTTTACTGTATTTTTGATCAATTAAATGCAGCCTTGTAAAATCATTATAAAATCTTTCCGACCCCAAACTTTTGAACTGTGATATTATGGAGACATGGTCGTGTACTGCATAGTGAGAATGACCCAACGAAAAAAACTTTACTTTATTATTTTTTCTATAATGTTTTTCATAAAAGTGGACTAAACAAACTTATACACATATATTTCAAGATTACTGAAGCCGTACTTTTTCCTGTATTTCACAGATCAAAATTTTAAACATTATAATTAAATTAATTATAATGAAATATATGCCGTATATGTGAAATATACCGTGTGTCTGATTTGCAATCTGTGTATTAACTGTAAAACTAGTGTACTACGACTATTTCTCTTCCTTATATGAACACCAGATGGCATTATATGCTGCACTCATGATTTTACACTCTCACAATACTGAGAAATTCCCAAAAGATGAGTCGGGTTTTGTTATTCACCTGATTCCAGCAGACATCTACTTTTTTACAAATAAGTGTAGCTTGTTTTGTCATGCTGATTGGACAGAGTTGAGCGTCTTTAGACTTTAATGCAATTAGATGCCATTGGAATGCAGGAACTGGAAGGGGGAAATAAACGGTAGAACAAAGAGAAGAATGGTCCAGATTAGAGAGCCAGTATTGCTTGGCCCTATTCTGTGCAAGGAGAGGGGGAGTCGCTTTTATCACAGGCCTGCAGGTGGCCATTCAGCATTGGAGCTCCTGTTTAATTACCTATCCATAGTGCAAACAGAGATAAGAACACTCTAGACACCCGACATTGAGATACACCTCTTGTGTGTGAAGAGTTTTGAATAGTCTCACTTTGCAAATAATACTCGACGTGTTACAGTTTTTGCATTCTTATAGTGCACCTTAATGCACAGATTACTTGTGCACTCTTGTCAGGTACCGTCAGTTAGTTTAAAAAAAAGGCTTTACCAATATTTGTAAATGTAATATTAATAGAATGTGAGTGTTGTAATATGTTGAAACTATTAGGTTCATTCTACAAATCAGAACAGAAACTCATCTCCTGTTTTGGAGTGTCAAGATTTCCCATGCATCATGCAGTACACTGGTACACAATACAATATTTATTTATACAGTACATTTATACATTTATAAAGCACAAAAACAACCAAGGCTGACCAAAGTACTGTACAAAACAGAATAAAACAAAGAAAAATAAAACTTCCAATATAGGAACACACAACAATAGATAAACAATCATCGTAAGGAGTATTGAAAGCCAAAGAGAATAAATAAGTCTTTAAAGAAGATTTGAAGGTGGAAACAGAGGGATCTAATCTAATGTAGAGAGGTAGACCGTTCGAAAGTGTTGGGCGTGCATATAACATCTAGCGATTACACATATATTGCAGAATGTTTTTGTTTTTTTTACTCTTAGAAGAGTTTAAAAGTAATTAATCAAAGTATTAAATATACTTAATCAATCAAAATAAAGCCTGTTTATTTATAATTTTAAGTATTTATAAATATTGGTAGCAAGGAGCATTTTAAACACAATATTTTTAATGTTTTTTTAAGAATCTCATACCTTTGATTCATCACTGCTTTCTCCACAATAATGGTCAGGGTTTTTTTTTTGTTTTTTTTGAGAGACATTTTTCAGGGGGTTTTTTCTGTTAGAAAGGAATTGATTTAGATGATTAGATTAGGTACTAATTGAATGGCTCATAAGTAAATAATGTTTCCCCTAAACTTTTCAGAGAGTTGGTTTCTTTTTTGCTATAGACATAATCTATTCTGAACCCTCTTGTGGAATTCCTCAATCAATACTCTGCTGCTTTTGAACCAAAGTCTGTGGGTACCAACCATGATTATGGATCTTTTGTTATGAGATATAATGACTTTTCTGGTATAAAAGACAAGGAATCTGCCACAAAAAGCGTACAGACAAACACCTGTGACCTACAGGCCCTGGTTAAAAGGCTTCTTTGACCTTTGCTTAACCTTTGATGTCTGATTTGACCCCCCAGCTTGCTGTGTTGTTCGTCTACTCTCCCTAAATGCAACTTACTTTACGCATGCGTCAACATCTTGCAGTATAAAAAACTTAACCCATTTTCAGCCAATTTTCCTCTCTCTTTGACATACATCCAGACTGCACGCCTGTTACATGTTTAAGACTAACAATGACAGATATATTTGTCTTTGGGTCACATGACAGAGGAAGCAGTTGTCTGTTAAACTGTCCCTCTCGATTGTGTCTGTTTTATAGTTTGTGCATCTGGTTGTAGTGTGTGAAAATTATTAATTGCTTTGTTCTTTCGTCTCTGGGAATTTTGTCTTTTTAGTTTTACACGCACTCAAATCAATTTCATTTTTTGTTGGTTACCATTTTTGGAATAGCTGAATTTTTTGGGTTCAAAATTAGTGGTGAAATTTGAACTAGATGTGAATATCAAATCACAATTATCATTCGTTTGATAACGTGTTTTGATTTTTGGTCTTCTTTTTTTAGATTTGGAACTAATTCAATGAAAATTCCATGTGCTCAAAGTGAATCACATCAAGAACAATATCACAATACCCTAAAATGCAAAAACAACCCAATTTAATACAGAAAATTTGTATAATGAATAATCGAAAAGGCACATGATGGTCAATGAAAAGGTTCCAGATCTTGATGCACCTCTTGTTTTTGTTTTTTTTCAAATTCTGACAGTTGATCTTGATGAACAATTGACGTTTAAAGAATGTTTACAAACTGCATGGCGAAGAAGTTGCAGTTTAGGGTTTGTCAGATTGTCAGTGTTAGAGTTTTGTTCTTTTTCGTAGATGGGCATGTATATGCTCATTGTTTGTATATCCCCATCCCTTCCTTACAGCCAAAAACGTTAATGCTGCCCGACCGCTTCGTACTGCCTATACATGGACATGGCAACTGACTTACACAATCACCCCCATCATTGTCATCTCCTATGTAGTATGTTCATAGGTCCAATTCCCTTGTCACAACCCCCCTCCCCCCTCCTCCCCCCCTTCTAGCTATGGTAAAATATGTACAGTCATCCATTCACTCAAACCTAAAGATTAAAACCAATCTAAGCAAAAAGTTTAATTACTAGAATGTAGATATTTATTTAACAACAACAAAAAATATGCTATATAAATCAAAGGCTCAAATATGTACAGTTTTTTGTAAGAAAACTGGATTATTTATCAAAGTAACGACAAAAGAGAATAATGGTGAAGTTTATTTTTCATGTTATGTGGTGTGGATGTATGTGTTGTTGCCTCCCTGTACTCTCTCATGTGGGAAACAAAAATATATATCTAACCAGAAACGCAATGACAGTTATTTTGTTTTCACAAAGAAAAAACTTGTCCAAGAACATTCTTACACAACTTTCTTTTGTACGTTTTTTTCTTCATGCCAAAATCATGCGGGCAATTTGTTGATGTAAGTTGACAAAAAAATATGGTATGTTTATGTTTATGATATACAGTATATGCCGTATGGTATGCTTGTTTAACTACTTAACGTAATGAGATCAGAAGTTCTGATCTCGGTGTGCTAGAATATACTGTTGATGTTTATATTGCCTGTTTGTCAGTACTGTACTGTTTGCTATGTCTAGTAATTGATAACCTATGGTATTGGCTTTGTAATTTAACTTATGCTATTCGATTTGTAATTTATCATTTGAGCTCTGGCTTTTTCTTTTTAAGTTGAATGTGATTATTATTATTTTTTTTATGCAAGTCTTTGTTTTGTACTAAAAGCCTGATGGCAGAACTATCTTACCGTTGTAATGACAGTCGGAATATCTAGCAGTTAGAAAGCATAAACAAACCTTCCATGTTCATGAAATGGAACTTTTTGCTTATATTGCATGGCAGACACACTGAAATGTTTCCTTCTGGTGTTAGAATCACTTGTTCCTTGCCGAATATCGACACTTTACAGCTCCACATATACTTGAAGAACATAGAATCTTATTACCGTCAATAAAAGCTTTGTACTTTCAGCATTTCAAGATACAGTAAATATCTACATTCTTAAAAGATTAAAGTCTCACACTTAGAAATCAGCCATATTTACAGTTCATTCAGCTGTTATTGTGCCGTGGAGATTGTATCTGCCATTGGGGAGGCTTTCTGAAGCCATTCAAAAGGCAAGAGTCAGTGCACTGCTGGGGAGCCAGATCTTCCATCACACACGTACAGTATATATATAGAGCGAGAGAAGATACAAAAATAAACATGTTTTAAGGCACAGATGAAACAACATGTTATGAGACTTCATCTCATAGCTTATTTAAATAATATTCTGACTTTTTTTTTAGAACATGAGACTTCATGGCAGTAGATTCATATATTTTTTACTTATGCAAATAATATTCAATATATTCACTTATTAATAATTCAATAAGTGAACAAAAGGTTTTTTTTACAGCATTTATTAATTCTGATTAATGTTAATTTATATATTATTTATAACTATAGTTCAAGTTGGCATGAGCTAATCTTAAAATACGCAACTTTCAATGTTAAAAATGTTTTTGTAGAAACTAACATTACATTGGCTCATGTTCATTTTTATGCACAAATTTTTTCTAGAATATTAAAGGAATAGTTCACCCCAAAATCAAAATTATCAAATCAATTTCTCACCCTCAAGCCATCCTAGGTGTATATGACAAACGGAGTTATATTAAATAATATCCTGGCTCTTCTCAGCTTTGCGATGGATTTTGATTATTTTATTTTATTTTATTTTTTATCAATCCATAAAGTAATCCATACGACTCTGAAGCGAAGCCATGGGTTTTTGGAAGAAAAATATCCATATTTAAAACTTTTAACTGGGAAAAACCCGAGCACTTTTCAATGCCATTACAAAGCTGGGAAGAGCCAGTATATTATTTTATATAACTCCGATTGTGTTCGGCTGAAAGAAGAAAGTCATCTACACTGAGGATGGCTCGAGGGTGAGTAAATTATGGGATCATTTTAATTTTTTGGGTGAACTATTTACTTTAAAGCAGATAATTCAAATACCTCACAAACCGGCTCACCCACAAAGACCTGTCGAGTCCTTTTGATGCCAATTTTTTGTCGTTTACTGTATGTTCAATATTGTTTCTGTGTTGTTTTTTGGTTTTGTTTTTTACGTTCTGCCTTGTATCCGTTACCAGAGCTTTTTTTGTTATTTCTTTTTTTTTGGTTACCAGTTTTAAAGACTAACTTGCCTCATGTCTGTGTTCAATTGTAGGAGGTGAATTAGTTTTCCCAGTACTAGTAAAGGATCCCTTAGAGCTCCCCTCTGTAGCCACTCGTACACCCTCCATCCCCTTTCCCCCAACCCTCCGCCCCCACCTCACCATTATTGAGACCACCAAAGAGTCCCTGTCCATGGCCACTGAGGCGGGGGTACCTTGCTTGTCGGACCGAGGCAGCGATGATTGTGATGATGATGATGATGATGGCTTGATGATATCTGGGTATGGCTCTGGGGAAGCATACGACTCTAACCTGCCCCCTACTGATGATGAAGATTTTTACACCACCTTCTCCTTGGTAACAGATAAGACCTTGTCATCGTCGACCTTTGAAGGTGGCTACAAAGCTCACGCGCCTAAGTGGGGATCCAAGGACTTTAGACCTAACAAAGTCTCCGATTCTGGTAGGACTACTACCGCATCTTTTTCCCCCAAGCTGAGCCGCTCTACGTCCACGCCACCCAAACTGCCCGCAGGCAAAATGAATCACAGGGAGCTAAAGCCCCAGCCCGACATAGTCTTGCTTCCATTGCCCACTTCCTATGAGGTAGACAACACAAAGCTGAAGAGCCCATTAATAACCTCCCCCATGTTCCGTAATGTACCCACAGCAATCCCCACGGAGCCGGGCATCAGGCGGGTTCCGGGGGCCTCCGAGGTGGTCCGTGAATCTAGCAGCACCACCGGAATGGTCGTCGGGATAGTTGCCGCTGCCGCTTTGTGCATCCTAATACTGCTGTACGCCATGTATAAGTACAGAAACAGGGACGAGGGATCCTACCAAGTGGACGAGACCAGGAATTACATAACCAACTCGGCGCAGAGCAATGGAGCAGTCATGAAGGACAAGCAGCAGAGCACGAAAAGCGGCAACAAGAAACAGAAAAACAAGGACAAGGAGTACTACGTGTGAGTCCGAGCGTCGCCCCGTTGCTTTGACAGAACTTTGACAGACCTGTTGGGCACTGCGCCGAGAGAGAGGGCGACAGGAGCCGAACCCCGGCGCTGTGCCAAGGCGGCGAACTCTGATGTGAACTGTACCATAAAGCACACTTACAACTGTAAGCACACCGCGAAGGTAAAATAGCAAACATTAGTGACCTTACTCCTCTATCTGGTCGGAGACGTTATCAGTGTAGAATATTCCACGGCTACATCATAATCCTAAGTGACTTTTTAGAGGTATGTGAACCTTGGCGTAAATCTCGTTTTTCTTTTCTTTTGTAACTCTGTAAAAAGAGGAGAACGTTTCAAGCATGTAAGAGACACGTAGTGCTGACGTCCGTAACGACAGTGGGACCCAAAAAAATGTTGTTCACTTGAAAAAAAAGGACTCCTGCCAACAAAATAAATAAATATATATATAAATATATATATAAATTCTATATATGAGAAATTTGTATTGTTTATACATTACATGTGGTGTCTTATCATTTTTTGCTCTCTGCAAAAAGAAGAAAAACACTATGTAATAACCGAAACTGCTCAAGACTGGTCACCGAGGCTCTGACAGCACTGCACTGTTATGATTTCCAGCCAAAATTGATCATTTTAATTGTACAACCAAATGTAAAATTGCAAATGTGTGAGTTGCCAGAAAGACAGTGATGTTTCCTTGTCTCAGTAAAGCGACTGATTGTAGTGCATGCCATGCCATCCTTCGCTTCGAACACGTCGTCCGCCCACCGGGCCGATCCCATCATCAGATAGACCTCTCGTCCCTCAAAGCGACACGACAAGGGAACATGTCGCAGATTGGAACTTTTTCAACCGTATGTATGTTGGTCCATTTGCTCTCGTCTCTTTTTTATACAGCTGTCTGGTGCAGACTGGCGCAGTGCTATGATACTGTTAACGGATGTCTATACGAAAATAAATCTAATGTGAAAAGTGTGAAAAAAAATCCTATCTGTTGTCACAGTCGACTGTGTCGAACGAGAAATTTGTTTACATATTTTATTACATGATAGCAGTTGTACTTTGTAGGTAGATGATGTACATACAAACCTAAGTTGTATTTTTTTTTAAGTAATTCTATTGTACAGAGAGATCATTGATTTATTCAGTGTGTTTCATGCAGAAATATCCGACACTGTCAACTCATGTGAAGGAAGAAAAAAATATACAGTACACACACGTTTTTGTAAGGACAAGCAGAGAATATTGTTAGATTAGAAGTCTAATCTTTCTCGCAGTCCAAGTCCAAGCATGGGTATTTGACTACTTGAAGCTGTCGATGAAATACAAGACGCACTTCTATTGTACCAAGGTTTCCTTGTTATCGGTTGTTTTATTTATAGGAGAATCAAAGAAATATGTAATAAAGACAGACTAATATGGACACGGACATGCAGCTCAGATAATTTACGCCGTACGTGTGTTTCTTACCTTAATGTCTTAATACGAGTGGCCTAGACTGCAGTAAGCCCTGTCGCATTGACAGACTTTTTGCCATTTTTGTTCTTATTCATGTATATTTTTGCCATTTTTTGGAGGAAAAAAAATATATATATATTTGTTTATTACTGTACCATAAATAAGATGTGAAAATGTGCCCATGTTATTTTTAATCTTCATTTTCTGTTCAACCTCACATGCGCTTTTATTCTTTTCATTTATGACATCATAGTCACGTAGCTTCGCTTCAGAACATTTTTGGCGATGGTCTATAATAAAACATTCCATGGAGGTTGATCATATATGGGTTGTCTTAATGTGCATATCTAAGCTCTGTTCATTGTGTGTGGTGATACATAATTTTCTAGCATCCATCACTTTGGACTTTAATTTCCTGTTCTGTTAGGACCTTTTTAATGTGTTAAGAAGAGACTTGGGTCTGAAATATGTCTTTCTTCACATGCTTTCAGTGGATTAAATGACTCACTATGTTTTAGCGCAGGAAAGGTGAGGTGGTCATTTGTTATAAAGAAGTTGTAGGACGACTGGCTTTCAGTAGCCAGTCAGCTAGAATCAATTTCCACCAGATCTTGTACAATATTTTCCTTTGAGACACAGATTTATGAAAGACTCAGTACTCTCAATGACCTGTTAACAGAACAAAAGCTAGATCTTGAGCACAAAACAGCTAGCAATATTTTATTTTGGTTACCAAGGCAACACAAAGGTACAAATCACAAACTGTGACCTCTGCTGGGGTTTAATTGTTTTTATTAGATATGGTAATTAAAGTATATCTGACTATAAAGAAAATTAGGAGGATGTTTAATATGCTGTTGTTCGAGAACAAGTACAAAATGTGAAATCCTTATCAGTAACAATGGCACAGACTACATGTCAGATTTTGAGATTTGTTAAATAGGCCTATAACATCAAAACATAACGTGCAATTCAGGTGATAGTTTGATTGGATATTTTTTTCCAATTCACACTGACAGCCATTTGGAACAACAACGTGACTTGAAGTCTTTCATTTTAAATGACAATTGGCAATTTCTAGTTTCATGGGTTATAGTAACTGGTTTGACATATGTCCAGATGCAATGATTTTTACCGGCAAGACAACTGATTCATTGTCAACATAAAATGGCCTCTTATTTTTTACAGCCAGTATATCTCTTTTGTGTTTAAAAAGCTTTGACCCCCCTGAGTACAGGTCACCAATAAAGTCAACCAGCAACAGGAAAACTACAATAGAGTGACCAACAGCGATAATGTCACTCTGAACAAGCATTGGATATGTTTTTTTTCCAGGTGTTAGAGATAAAATATATATGCATAAAAAAAACTGTTAGATTACAGCCACCCATCCTTTTGATTCCCAGGTGGTGAAAGTAGCCGTCAAAGAGGTGAATCACAATTGCAACATGCTACAAGAACTAGAAAACTTCTTTTTTTTTTTATCCTCTTTTGTTATTCACTAAGCACCAATATTGTGTGTACTTTAGTATTTTGTCACAGAACCCACATCTTTTTCCCTAACTGCACACAAGCCAGTTTGACCAGGTGCAAAATGTGCTGAAATTAGGTTCACACAACTTGTTCGCAATTAATGGCATGCAAATCAAGTATAGCACAGATTCTGTGGCCATGTTTGTGCCAATATCTTATTTGCTTAATTCAGTTAAGATATTTCCTTAGTTCCCCCCTGAGATTTTGTTTTATTTACTTTTTTTGTAAATTTGCTATATCTTGACTATACATCATGCATAGAAAGCAAACCTCAGAATTCACATGCCGTAAAAAATTATATGGTCAATAAGTTATGACAACTATGTTTTTACATTGCTTTAACTTATCAAAATAAGTTACGCAATTTTCAACAGTTTTATGTTATACAAGATTTAATTCATTTTTTAAAGTCAGTTGAATGTAATTTAAGTTGAAATGACTTAAATATCCAAGTTGATTGTACTTAGAAATGTCTCTTTTCAAAAACATCATGTGATGTAAAAATCAATCAAATCTGTGTAAATATCTTTATCAATGTCATCACTTCAGATCTTGCTGTTTGTCATCGTTACTTGTTTGTATACATCTTTAGCATTTGCATCCAAATCTCCCATTGAGGGATCCACAGTCATTTAATATAAAACGATGTAAGAATCCAAATGTCTTGCCGAAGGCCAATTATTTTGACCAGTCCAAAAAAAGGTATATCTGAAAATCTCTTCAGCTTTGAGCCCCACTTTCACAGACAGAGCACAGAAATTGCTCTGAATAAAAGCGGTGTGTGAAATGTACAATTTCGTAATGAACATCTTATTACATGGGTGGCTGGATTATTGAACCACACTGACTGAGGGGAAACCGTTTTCTGGGCAAAGAGAAAGTTAATTAAAATTCTACAAAGGTTTAAAATTCAATAATCCCTCTTCAACTTCCAGATAAGTCGTGTTGATTGGGACCATTCATCAAAACAGACCTTTTCTCTGGTCGAAATTAGTCCCTCCTTTTCTGCAGGAAGACATTTGATTAGGGATCTAGTCTAACTGCCTTTGCATTTTGCAGTTTAATCTGGGTGTCAATAAATATAAAGGAATTGTGATGAATGTACACATTTAATATGTTGTCGTATCAGTGGCTTAACTATAAAACCAAATGATGACACCAGATTTAATGAAGTTTTGATCGATCACCTGATGGAAATAACACACACCATGATGGTGCTACATGTACATATAAGCTAAATGTCACAAAATAAATATCAACTACTGAATATTAGCATCCTTATGAGATTGACAGGTTATGCTGTAGTATCTGGGATCAATACCATCTGTATTATGGCTTGATGCTGACACTTCCATGAGAAAAAATGACACTGGGTTTCATTGACTAATAATTATGTTCTTTCTTACTCCGCAGGATTCACAAGGGTTTCCATTGAGTTAAATTTCGAGGATCACAGTGTTTATGTTGTGCAATTAATATTACCAGTATTGCTCCACAATCAGAAGTTGTTCTGTAAATGCCTACAAATCTGGAATCATGAACAGCCCCTGCTGGTAGATGCTGTAACTACACCATTCTGCTGGCAAAAAAACATCATTCTTCATTAAAAGAAGTATACATATATATTCTGGATCATTTTCCCTATCAAGGTTTGGAAACTTGTTTGTTCTTGTGATTCCATCAGCCAATACTGCTGTTGTTTCAGAGTGATCAGTCACATGAAATGTACAGTTCACAGACAATTGTGTCCAGAACTGAGAGCCCATGAGCAAAGATGGAAGAACTCAACTCATCTCTGGGGAGTCATGTACCAGCCGAACAACACTACCGAGAGGAGCGGGAATGCTAACAGATATCTTTTTACGAGTATTATAGACCTCCTTGATGATATCCATAAAACATACTATACGCTGTCCCATCCGAGAGGACATCCTGCACATAACAGTGGGAAAAACCACTGAATTTTATAGGAAAAAAAGCAGTTCATCACTATTATTGTAGACATATGCATGACACAAATAACCCAGAACTCATATGCCCGGTTTCACAGACGAAGCTTAAGCCTAGTCCGAGACTAAACTTTCTCTGACATATCTTCAAATATGTCACTGCCATTGTTTTGTCTCAAGATGCACACCTGTATATATATATATATATATATATTTTTAAGGCACGTTTATAAAAGCTACATAAATGTCATAATTTAACTAAGGCCTAGTCGTGGCTTAGTCTAAGCACAGTCTGTGAAACCAGGCCATAATGTTGCCATTTACAAAGCCTTAATAATGGATTTAGGGTAAATCCATTTATTACCAGGAAAAATGAAAACGTGGTCCAGAGCAATAGTGAATTTACAGACAGTCTATTTTCACTGTCTATATCTACCTATTGTCCCTCAAATGAATAAAGGATCATCAAAACCATGCCATTCTAAAACTGTAGCAGGAACCTGATCCATAGAGAAAGAGAGAGACGGAGAGAAAGAGTGGTAAAAGCCTTGATTCATTATTAATCTAGCTGCAGAGCACTGGAGATCAGCCACTGCTCAGGAATACTAACACACCAGTCTGGGACATTGCTGTGTCGGACTGAGGAGGATATATGTTTGTGCAAAATATGCATCATTGCCATCGGAGGATTAGCTTTGTAAGCTGCATATACAAGCGCACTGAAAATCACAAGAATATGATTTTCTCTCTCCATGTGTGTGCGTGCATGTGTCTGTCGGTTTAGATTATACATGAAATATTTAAGTACACTATTTCCAAGTCACTAATCAAATAAGTTGTGAGATTTCTAATATGACTGTTTGTACATGCAGTCAAATCTTCTTTCTTACATTAAAGCACAAGATCCTTGGATCCGCTCAAATCATGCTGGAGAACATCATTAGGTTTTACACACATTTGTGGAGTTCACGAAGCTTGAGTGCTGCTGTCATTGAAGTAAAAGATAGACGAACCAAACCAAAACACATTCTGACAATTTTAAAATGTCATAAAATGACCTTAGTCGTAGTGTTCATATCACAAATATCAAGTGTGCAGATATTAAGAGTTTGGCAAAATACAAAATGTCATGCAAAACACAGGTTCACATAATGCTTCCAGGGTTTTCTGTGACTGAATGCACAGCGCCCTCTAGAGACATGTGAGGTGAGTGTTTGTATTTGTGTGGGCTATGCACATGTGAGATCACTGGGGTTTTGCAGGGGGCTGATTCTGAGCTGCAGGGGGAGAGAACGAGAGCCTGTGGTCAAATCCGCTGTCTGTGCTGGTCGGCGTGACACAGACAGCATGATGTACCAATGCTGTATTGTCCGAAGACAATGCCACAGTTCTCCCAAACATTCCCTTGCACCAAGTAAGTGGAGCAAAATGTCGGTCACTGAACAGTATGGTTCTTGTAAAGACTTCCTCTCTTTTGTTTGCGAAAGAAAAAGACTTTGTAGAGTTGGAAAACTACCATAATGTGATCAAGTCTACTTTATGGCCTTCAGTTCCATTCTAATATATTTATAACTTGTTTTAACGTATAACTTTTGTGAATTAAATGGGGGCTTAAATAAAACTGGAAAATTGGTTGCTGAAAACTGCTCGAATGGGAACAGGAACACATTCACCAGCTTAGGAAAATGTGAATGAATTATTTTTATTTTATTTTATTTATTTTTACTATTGAAGAAACATTTGAGACATTTTTCTAAATATGGTCTGAGTAAATGACAGAACTTTCATTTTT